ACATCGTCTTGTTCGAGAAGCAAACTTATCACCATGAGTATCTAGGTTATGTGCATAACACAAGCAACCAAATACACGAAGATGATCAAACATGGGAGGACGACTATGTAACAATTCATACGGTGTTTTATCTTGAAGGAGCTTTGAGGGAGTTCTATTGATCAGATAACAAGCGGTAAGTGCACATTCCACCCAATACTCGATAAGTAAGCCAGCTTGAAATCGCAAGGCATGTGCCACATTCAAAATATGATGATGCTTCCGTTCCACTCTGCCATTCTGCTGTGGTGTTCGAACACATGATGTCTCATGAACGATTCCGTGTTCTCTGAAGTATTTGCCAAGACACATAAATTCTGTGTCATTATCGCTTCGTAAAATTTTAATATCTCCATCAAACTGCCGTTTCACAAGATCTACAAAATTGTGTATTCTCTCCGAAACATTGATCTTATTCAGAAGAAGATAAAGCCAAACTGCTCTAGAATAATCATCGACTATAGTAAGAAAATAGCGAGATCTACAAAGCGCAGAAACACGATAAGGACCCCAAAGATCGCAGTGAATCAACTCAAATGTCTTGTCGTTTTATTAATAATATCGGGAAACGGTTTCCGTGTTTGTTTTGAACATAAACAAACATCACAAATAGAAGAACAAAGCTCAGAACTACTAGAAAAGCCAACACCCAGAATTAAACCCACTACACGTGACCTAAACGACGATGTCACAAAGCTCTCACATCGCCAAAACTAGTCTAAAAAGCCGTCACCGTCTCTAATCCTCGGAAGTGGTACAGTCCCTCACTCTGACGTTCAGCCACTCCAATCAGCGTCCTCGAGGTGTGGTCCTGCAAAACCACCAATCGATCAGTCACTTGACCAACACAATAATTATTAGTACCTAATTGGCCAAAAGAAATCAAATTCGTATGAAATTCCTCCACATAATAAACATCTCGTAGCTCAAGATGAGCATTCAGTCGAATGTTGCCTTGTTGACTAGACAAAGTATTATTCTCGGCTAGTAAACGAACCGAAACCGGAGACACAGGTCGTATGTCAGCAAGAGATCCAAGAGCTCCGTCATGTGATGCGTAGCACCTGTATCTAAAATCCAAACTGATTCATCATTCTTACCACTGAGTCGTGTGGCAGTAGTGTTCGAAGACGGTTGGAAGAGTTTCATCAAAGTCTCCCATTGTGCATCCGAAAAACCTGTCAATCCTTGTCTATCAGCATCCATGAGAGCAAGGTTCGCACCAATCTCAGGTTAACTCCCAATCACTTGAGTCAAATTAGCACGTGTATTCGATCCTTGTGTTCGATTAGTAGCGATTCCGTTAGTTCCCTGAACTTCGTTGCGATTTCGTGGACGATCACCCCACCATTCAGGAAACCCGATCACCCGAAAACAAGAGCTTGCAACGTGCCCTTTTCTCCCACAACTTGTACAGAGAACGTTAGGATCACTGCGAGGTTTTGAGTTTCCGTTGTCAGATGTACTGTTGCGAGTACGTGGACCCGAGGAGGAAGCTTAAGCTGCAAAACTCATTACTGGTGTCACCTCCTTGCGTGCATTCAGCTGCACCGTTTCGTTTTGCATGATGGTCTGATAAACAGTGTCAAGGTCGGGCAAGGGAATTTGTGCGCAGATCTGAGAACGCACATCCCCATGAGTCGTATCATTAAGCCCGTAAAGAAAGTCGTGAACATGAATCATATCTCTTCGCTGTTCATGAAACGCACCCAACTCACACTCGCACTTGTTACAACCACAAGTCTTGTTGGGCAAGCGATCGTTCATAGCATCACAAATCTTTGTCAATCTCCCAAAGTATTCATCAACGGTAGATCCCATCTGTCGACAGGTCGCTAGAGCTCCTCGAAGTTGTTGAAACGCGCTCCACTCTTGAGGGCGAAGCGCCGCTTGATGTGATCCCAAAGATCTTTGGCAACTTCTCGATGTGAGATATTGCTCCGTATTTTTGGTTCGATGGTTAACTTAATCCAGGTGACTAACAACTGATTATTAGCCATCCAGTCTTTAAGATCCGGTGAATCGTCGGCCAGTTTCGGAATGCTTCCATCAATAAAAGCAAACTTCTTTCAAGCATTCAAAGCCATACAAAGGTTTTGAGCCCATTCATTATAATTTTGCCCATTGAGCAACAGTTGGGAAATAACTGCTCCCGGATTATCTCCAGAGGTCAGATCGTCGGAAGAAATTATCCTCCTATTCGTGGGTTGTGCCACAATTGCACCAACATTAGCCATCGTAAGTCAGATATCAAAGTCGAGAAAGAACAACTTCGATTAGGTCAAAGAAAGAAGTTAAGAGTCGGAAAAACAAAAAGAGAGAAGACGTGTTTATCTTTGTCGTGGCTCTGATACCATGAAAAGTTTATGTTCTAAAATTCTCTCTTACTATTCACAGTCCACATGATCGATGTTTATATACATCTACATATGTTCTTAAAGCGATAAAATCAAAAATGTATACAAAGGAAATGGAAAACTTCCATATTGTTAAAGATACGAACTTGACCTCCAAGTATTTCCTAATATAAGTATTTACATCTCCAAGATTTGTATATTTCAACTGTTTCTCTTTTCATAAGACAGAAGACAAAGATTATACAGATGTATATGTACAACATTTTGATTATTTTCTTTACCAAATTGTTCTATATGGCCCCATTCTTGTGGCTTTTGTGCTTTTCAGGGTAATAAAGTTGATTTGTTTTTATTTTTTTTGCTACTATTTTTTAGAAAAAGTCGAAAGATCCTTGTAATTTTTTTTTTTTTTTTGTTTCCATTTTGTGGTTTAGTAGTTACATCTTTTATCTCTTTTTGTATAGATATGATTTTAGAAGCATAATTTTAAAAATTAATGATAAATACATCAAATAAGCACCACTTATTAACTATTGATAAAATTCTATAATTACAAGATGTTAAGTTAACAAATTGAAAAATATTACAGCAAATTTTGTCATTTTTTAGATATAAAAACTGAAAAATATGTAAACAAATTTGTTTTGAAAAGAAAAAAAAACTAAGGTTAGTGCTAGAGGAACCCTGGTTGATAGATGTGTACATCTTCTCTATCGCCACTTGGATACAATATCTTTTGGTAATAACGTTCACCAAAGTTGTTTTTATTATTTGCTTGTCTGAGGCAAATGCCTTTGTACAGTAGGCACAACCCTGTTTATATTTAATTAATATATGTGAAGATCTGATCGATTTAAATTACTATATATCGTGATCATGTGAATATCTAATTTTGAAGTATTTTTATTTTCATTTCTTAATAAAAATATATTATTTTATTTTCTTATTTTTTTACCTTTTCTATTTAGATTACCTAAGATAATGTTAATTTTTTTCACTTCTTAATTAAAATATATTCTTTTATTTCATTTTATTTTAGTTTGTTTTTAATTTCGAAATATACTTTATTTTATTTTATTTTTGATTTTCTTATATTTTTTTTAGTTTATTTAATTGATACGTTTTAAGATCTTATTAATTTAGATCTCTACAAATTTTTAATTTTTTTTTTTAAAAAAATCTTTTTATTTTTTAATTTTGTTTTCTTTATTTGTATTTTTTTATTTAATTGACATGTATCAAGATTCGATCGAATTAAATCTTCATATATCCCAATCATATGAATTAATAAATTTGATGCATTCAATTTTATATAATTAGATTAGAACACGCGAGTTATTTGAAAATTTGTAAAATTAATTTAAAAACAAAATAAATCTATTTACCTGTAATTTTTGTAATTTTATCTGCTTTCAGTTAAATTTAATCACATATTTCTTTTATGGAATGCTTACCATACTTTTATAATAATTATAATTATTTCGTTAACCAAATTTGACTTTCTAATTTAAAAATATTTATTATATATGTTAAATTTTGATCATGTTAATTACTAAATTTAAGTCATCCAATTTATATAATATGATAAGATATGGTAAATAATTTTGTACATTAAAACCTTTATAAATTAATAATGTTAGGACTTCAAAAATATTTTTAACAACATAAAATTCAACCAAAATATATCATATGAATGTAAATAATCATATTTTACTATTATTTAATTTATATATCCAAACCTAAATATTTAAAATGTATGCATCAATTTGCGACTATTTATGATATATATATATATATGTTTAATATGTATGGAATTCTTTTCAACAAGAAAAATACGTATGGAAGCTCTCTCGTTATTTTTCTGTTACTTTTTAGTTCTCATATGTATCATCTTTATGCATGATTAATTTCAGATGACAATTTTAAGTGATGGTATAAAAAACCTGGATTGACACATCATCAAATATGAACTTGCGACTCTTAACATTATCATTCGGAATTTTGGTTCTTATTTTGCAAATACTATAATATGACTTGAGAGACTAGTCAAAGTTATTTTCTATATTTTTTTGTTGAATATTTGTATTCGTGAAATTTTCTTATGTGCAGCACATAGCAAAACATGATCATGCAAAAGAAGGAGATAATGATGACTTCATCTGACATATTTTTGTAGTATGAAATGGTTACTTGATAAATTTTAATATGTATATGGTGGCTACATTATTTATTAATGTCTAGTTTTTGTTTATCCAACTATTACACGTGCTTAAATCATTGTTCGAGAAAGATTCGAAATTATCTGTTCACGCTAGCTGGTTATGTTTTTATTGCTATATGAATGACCCATAATGCTCACACCTCGTATAGAAATTATCTTCAAAAATACATATCTCTTAATATGCTTAACACAATAAAAAAAACAAGAAATGTGTCGACATTATGGGTTTGTTATTGCTTAACACTCTAAAACAATTATAGACTTGCGTACATCACATTTTAATAAAGGTAGTAATTATAATTAAAGCAAGTAAGTAGTAACACATCGTTTCACATACTACTACATCGTCCATATCATACCTGAGAAAATATAATTAAAGAGCCTTAAACCATTGTCGACCAACCTTTCAAAATTATCTGACTTTTGGGCTTTGGTGTTCCCACCTTGCGAGGCCACTTCCACTTCAAGAATATGAAAAGTATATAACACGGCAACGCAACCATAATCGCCAGCGCAAGGAAGAATTGGAAGTATGCTGTGTCATTGTCGTTCAGATACATTGCAAGGCCGTAAGAGCAGCATAGAGGAGCTGAGATCAAGATATAAAACCAAGTGTACTCCCTACCAAGTGGTAAGAGAACGAAGTTCAAAGCAAGAGCCGACAAAAATGCCATCGTATTGAATCCCCAAAGGGCCCTTGATATTTTCCGGGGTTTACCCTCATAGTTATAGAGATAGACGACGGTAGATGACGAGTCTGAACCTTTGTCCTCTCCGGTTAGGGCTCTTGGTGGCTGCAGTGCTGTCCCATAAGTAGCCGTGATGACGAGTATGGTTATCACTAGGAGCGCGTTTCTGTTTCCATCTGATATGCCGCTCCTGTAACGTGTCATTCTGATGGAGCAATATTCCCAGAACTTAACCGGTGATCTCAAAAACTCAGAGCATGTCTTGACTTTAGATAGACCGGCCTTGCTCTTCCCACCCGATCTTTGTAACAGCTTTTCAGTTTTCTTGTCCATGTAGCGACCGTTTATTGAAGTTAAACTTGATTTTGGGTTAAGCTTAATTTTGGGTTTATAAAATAATTATTAGTTATTAGATTAGGCCCAAAATTAAGCTCAAGTTCTAGAATCTCTAGAAACATCACTAAAAATCATCATCTTTCTTAAATGTTCTAGAGAATTCTATTAGTTAAATATCTAGATAATTCTATAGATAATTCTAGATGTTGTAGTTAAAATTCTAGATATTATTGTAGAAAATTCTAGAGATTAGGAGAATGTTTGTAAGATATTTTGTAATAAGTGGAGCCTATAAATAGCCTACTACTCCATCATTTGTAAACAAGAGAAGTTGAACAAATAAAGAAAGAGTGTTCTTCATAAGTTCTCTTATCCTCTCTAAAGTTCCTTCAAGTTTTCTCTAAGTATTCTTTCATCTTATTATTCATACTTAGAGGGTCTTTGTTTCTTTCGGATCTCTCGGGTATTACGGTCTTGGGCTAGTGCTTGGCACTATCGGTGTTTTCTTTACATGGTATCAGAGCCATTCTGATCTGGTTCTTTTTCAAGATCGGATTAATTGAGATCTCAGATTTACTCTAAGTATGGAGTCAATGGGTCGCGTTGTTGGGTTGGGAATGGAGATTCTAAACCAATCCAATTACCGGTTATGGAAGTCATGCATGGAGTCATACTTGGTGAGTGAGGACTTATAGGATGTCGTCGGCGGCAGTAGCACAACACCACCAAGGGGAGCTGCTGCGACAGCGGAAGCGACAAAGGAGTGGACACGGAAGAATGCCAAGGCGGAGTTTGCATTGAAGAGGTCAATATCCTCGGGAGTCTTTGAGCATGTCTCAAGTTGCACATCCGCTAGTTCCATTTGGCAGGCGTTAGATCAGTTGTTCAACAAGAAGAATGAAGCTCGGCTACAACTGTTAGAGAACGAGTTGGCGAATGCAAAGCAGGGGGAGTCTTCAATCTCAGAGTTTTTCATCAAGGTAAAGAATCTTCGCTCAGAGATTAATACTCTAAATCCGGAGGAGTCAATTTCCGAAGCACGTTTAAAACGGTATATTATTCGAGGTCTACGACCTGAGTATACACCGTTTGTGACTTCGGTTCAAGGATGGGCTACACAACCTTCCTTGGAGGAGTTCGAGAACCTGCTAGCTTCGCAAGAGTCATTAGCTACGCAAATGGCAGGAGTCAAAATCCATGATGACTCGGGGAGCGCCTTTGTAGCTCGGAAGCAACACAACTTCAAAGCCAAATCCAAATACGATGGTGCAAAGAACATCGATGGACCGGAAGGATCTTCTACTGGAGATAAGAAGCGATTCAAGTGCTACCGGTGTGGAAAGCTTGGGCACTTCAAAAAGGATTGTCGAGTCAAGATGAAGGAGACAAATATGGCAGAATCAAAAGGTCATATTGAAGACGAAGAATGGGGGAAATGCTTCACGGTGGAGGCTGCATCTTCAGGTATATCCACAACTAAAAATCTTGAAAATGATTGGATTGTGGATTCGGGTTGTAGCCACCATATTACCGGAGACGAGAAGCTATTTTCTAGTCTTCAGCGCCATGATGGAAAAGAAGCCATAATTACCGCGGATAATTCAGTTCACCGGGTCGAGAAGGAAGGGACTGTTGTCATTGAAGGAGAAGATGGAAGCCCTATCACCCTCAAGAATGTATACCATGTCCCTAGAGTAAGGAAGAATCTTCTCTCTGTGGTGAATGCAGTAGACTCAGGTAACTACGTTTTATTTGGCCCAAGAGACGTCAAATTCTTGAAGAATATTAAAGAGTTAAAGGCGGATGTGGTTCACACCGGATCGCGGGTTAAGGATCTATATGTCTTATCTGCGTCCAACTCATACGTGGAGAAGATGAGTACAAACGACAATGCCTCTATATGGCATGCTCGGCTTGGTCATATAAACATGACTAAGCTAAAGGTTATGGTGAATAAGGAGTTGGTAAATGGGCTTCCGAAGCTGAAGATCCAAGATGAAGGAAAGCTTTGTGAAGGTTGTCAATATGGAAAATCACATAGACTTCCATTTGACAATTCTACTTCACGGTGCAGTGCTCTGTTGGAGAGGATCCATAGTGATTTGATGGGTCCTACAAGAACACCCTCATATTCCGGGTTTCGGTACATGTTGCTGTTCATTGATGACTTCTCACGGCACACTTGGGTATACTTTGTGAAGGAAAAATCAGAAGTATTCTCCAAATTTCAAGAATTCAAGGTTACCGTGGAAGGGGAGCTGGGTCGGAGAATCAAGACCTTAAGGACAGATAATGGAGGGGAGTTCATGTCCAAGGAGTTTCTCTCTCTTTTTGTCAAAAGCATGGAATAAAGAGAGAGTTTACTTGTCCGTATACACCTCAACAAAATGGAGTAGCGGAAAGGAAGATTCGACATCTAACTGAGACGTGCAGAAGCTGGCTATATGGGAAGGATCTGCCTAAAGCCTTGTGGGCGGAAGGCATGAGATGCGCAGTATACGTCATAAATCGGATGCCACTCAGCCCAAATAACATGAAGTCTCCGTATGAGATGATTCATGGGAAGAAGCCGTCAGTGAAACATCTCAGGATATTTGGATCAGTCTGCTACGTCCATGTGTTTGATTCTCAAAGAACCAAGTTGGAGGCAAAGGCGAAGAAGTGCATCTTCGTTGGCTATGACGAACAAAGAAAAGGGTGGAGGTGTATGGATCCAGAGACACACAGGTACATAGTGTCTCGAGATGTTGTTTTTGATGAAGTTTTCTCATTCTATGGGCCACCTCAAGTTTTAGTTGAGCAAGAAGGTGGGAGTTCCTCCAAGAGTGATAAACCAGCTCTGAGTAAGGAAAAAGGTCCTGAAGAAGAGATGCAAGGTGAAAGGGGGAGCACTGATCAAGAGGAGGATGAGGAGGAACATCATGGTTCCACAGCTAGTCAAAGGCCTAAAAGGGACATCATTAAACCTGCTCGGTTCAGAGATCCAAAGTTTGTTACTACCTTCTCGTGCTACTTTGCAGCTCCATTAGATGAAGATGAGCCAACATCTTATGATGAAGCAAAAGGTGTTGACGAGTGGGAAAACGCAATGAAGGAGGAGATGAATGCTCTCATGAAGAACGAAACTTGGGATTTGGTTCCAAAACCCAAGAATGCCCAACCTGTTTCTTGTAAATGGGTGTACCGGATCAAGCGCAAAACAGATGGAAGCGTTGATAGATTCAAAGCAAGGTTGGTTGCTCGGGGATTCTCTCAAAAGTATGGAGAAGACTATGATGAGACCTTCAGCCCTGTAGCCAAGATGACTACGGTACGTTCTCTCTTATCTTTGGCTGCAAGTTTTGGTTGGAAGTTATGGCAATTAGACGTGAAGAATGCTTTTCTATATGGAGAGCTTGACAAGGAAATCCTGATGGAGCAGCCACTTGGTTTTATATCACGAGAGCATCCTGATTATGTGTGTAAGCTGAAAAAGGCCTTGTATGGGTTAAAACAAGCTCCACGAGCCTGGTATGGAAAGCTTGCTCAGTTTCTTCAGTTCTGCGGTTATGTGGCATCAAACTCTGATCCGAGTCTATTCTTCAAGAAGAATGGAGGAGTCCACGTGGTAGTTCTCCTTTACGTGGATGATATGATAATTACCGGGAATGATGATGCAGAAATTACTCGTTTACAAGAGGATATGTCGATAAGGTTTGAGATGAAGAAGTTGGGAGAGCTCAACAACTTTCTCGGTTTGGAGGTGGAAAGGGTAAAGGGTGGAATATTCATCGGCCAACAAAGCTATGCAAGAAGAATCATTGAGAAGTTTGGAGTACACGAAGGAAAGACACGCTCTACTCCAATGGATGTCAACATAAAGCTTAAACGCGATGAAGGGTCCTTACTACCTGATCCTCGGCCTTATCGCTCTCTTGTAGGAAGTCTTTTATACTTAACCATTACAAGACCTGACATTGCCTTCGCGGTAGGTCTTGTAAGTCGGTTTATGCAGGCACCAAGGAAGCCACATCTAGAAGCGGCAAAGAAGATATTGAAGTATGTGAAGACAACTCTTGGCATGGGTCTGGTGTACAAGTATAATGCCAAGGTCTCTCTTTATGGCTTCACGGATGCTGACTTTGGTGGAGATCTTGATGATCGGAAATCAACTTCAGGCTATGTTTTCCTATGTGGGAACACAAGTGTCTCATGGTGCAGTAAGAAGCAAGCAACGGTGTCGTTATCTACAACTGAAGCAGAGTATAAAGCGTCAACTCTAGCAGCTCAAGAGTGTATTTGGCTTCAGAGACTCCTTGAAGATCTGTTCGAGCCAATCAATAAGCCAATTGCAATTTATGGAGATAATCAAAGTGCGATCAAGCTGGCCAATAATCCGGTGTTCCATGGGAGGACTAAACACATTGAGTTAGAGCATCACTTCATAAAAGAGAAGGTGCTTGATGGGACAATTGAAGCTTTGGAAGTTCGAAGCGAGGACAACGTTGCGGATATCTTCACCAAGTCATTACCAAAAGGTCAGTTCGAGTTACTTCGCTCGAAGCTCGGGATGACTGACAAAATCAAGTTTAAAGGGGAGTATTGAAGTTAAACTTGATTTTGGGTTAAGCTTAATTTTGGGTTTATAAAATAATTATTAGTTATTAGATTAGGCCCAAAATTAAGCTCAAGTTCTAGAATCTCTAGAAACATCACTAAAAATCATCATCTTTCTTAAATGTTCTAGAGAATTCTATTAGTTAAATATCTAGATAATTCTATAGATAATTCTAGATGTTGTAGTTAAAATTCTAGATATTATTGTAGAAAATTCTAGAGATTAGGAGAATGTTTGTAAGATATTTTGTAATAAGTGGAGCCTATAAATAGCCCACTACTCCATCATTTGTAAACAAGAGAAGTTGAACAAATAAAGAAAGAGTGTTCTTCATAAGTTCTCTTATCCTCTCTAAAGTTCCTTCAAGTTTTCTCTAAGTATTCTTTCATCTTATTATTCATACTTAGAGGGTCTTTGTTTCTTTCGGATCTCTCGGGTATTACGGTCTTGGGCTAGTGCTTGGCACTATCGGTGTTTTCTTTACACCGTTGGCTCGAAGGATATCCAGGGGTGTAAAACCGTCTTTGTTGATGATGTTCCGGTCAAGAGAGGTGCAAGTCAGCAACAATTTCAATGCCTGTACCAAAATGGTTACGCGAGTTATCAAATCATAGTGTTGGTAGTTCTAATAACAGAAATATTGATATATTTTTGGAAACATATAATGCCTCATGCTTATTCTCATATGCTGCCACGTGCAACGCGGTGTTGCCATCACGATTCTTTCTGTCTAAGATGTCAGTCTCGATAGAAGCAGCATCACTTTGACGCATTCGTCGGATCCATCCCGTAAGCGCTTTGAGCTCTTCATATCTGCCGTTCATCACCGCCGTGTGTATAGCCGTCTCCCCGCTTGCGTTTACATCCAGGATACTCTTGGGACAAGCCATTAGAAACTCCGTGAGTAGTTCCACGTCACCTTTCTCCACTACGAGATGTAGTGGTGTCACACCTGTGTTTGAGAATGAACAAACGATCGATCCTTGTTGTTAAAAGTTCACCAATAAGCAAAAGTTTTCTACGACTATTGTTTTAGAAATATACCCCCTCTGCCACGAAGACGAACAAGATTGGGATCAAACTTGACTAGCTCTAGTGCCATCTCGACTTGACGGTTCTCTACTGCAAGGTGCAAAGGACTTAACCCACTTGTATTTAGCTTACTTACAAAGGACGGCATCAATATCATCAGTTCTACGGCTATATCTAACCTCCCATGCATTGATGCTTCATGAAGTGGACTGTGGACAAAAGGTGAAGCATCAACATTTTTTAGGATATATGGGTCCTTCTCAAGTAAAGAATACAATGTATCCGTTGATCGCGCAACCCATGCCAATTTTTTATCCATAGATAGAAGACTTTACAGAAAATGGGTTTTTTTTCGCTCGTAAGGGAAGATAGATATGTATGTATGTTCTTATAGCAAAAAAATTAAATGTGTATGTTATAATTAAAAACTGCGCTAGTTATAAAAATATTAGCGTTTACATGCATTGTGGGCATTATAGGCATTTTAGGCTTCTCAACCATATATTAATGAACAGATTGAATGTGATCTAACGATTTGTTTTTTTTTGTTTTTCCTTCAAAAGTTGGTAACATCTTGACTTTGCGTGTGGCACTGTTACATAAAATCTACCAAAATGTCTTATAGTCAACAATGCGCAATGCAAAATAAATTATGACAAAAAGATGTTGGAATTGTTAATCAGGCCGTACGCCCGTGGGCCAAGCCCAGGTAAGCCCATAGTGAGGCGGGCCTGGACAGCATAAAAACTGGCCACCATTTAGAATTTAGAAGGCCTAATGAATTTATGGATGTCAATTTGGGTCAAAAGTCCGGTCCGGCCCGACTCTAAAAAATACCGGGTTTGAATTTTGGTATAAAAACTCAAAAAATCAAGTTTTTTGGGCTAAACCTATTCGGGCTAAACCCATTCGGGCTAAGTCCATTTGGATTTAAGCCCGGTCGGTCTCGGACTAACCTAAAAACCTTGTACATAATTATATTTAGAGTTTTTTATTAATAAATTATCTTTACAATTTAAAAGAATTAGAGTTATTAAATTTTTTATATTACTCTATTAATATAAAACCTTAATTTTTAGTTGTGTGCCTTCATATAACATCAATGCTCAAACTAAATTAGTTTCAAGAAACACTCATACTTTCATCTTGAAGATTTTTATCTCTATTTCTACCGTTTCTACTATTTACAGTACTTATTTATTTAATTATATTTGATATTACAATATATATGAATTTATAAGTTAAAGTTTTGCTTTCAGATTTGATAAAACTATATTTATGATTATTTTTAAAATTTATTTTATATTTTCTAAAAAGCCAAAAAAACCCAAAAAAACACAATAACCCTGTTAGGTTCACACTGGACTTCAAAATATATGTTCGATATATTATCGGGCTGGACTGGACTTAAATATATGCAGGTTTTATGTATTTTAGGCCGGGCCGAATCGGGCCAGCCCGTTTAGCATGCCTAAATAGACTACCCGTCCAGACGGCAGACTAAACAGGTTTGTCCGTCATGGGTTTGCGGGTCAGACAGATAAACCTGGGATTCATCATCATCTCAAATCGATTCATCTTGTAGATTTCAATTCATCTTTTCAAATTTTTTCACAAATTGAGCAATGAAGTTCGGTTTTTTCTTAGATTACGCCATTCTTTCACCGACTGAGCAATCAAATTCGTTTTTTTTTTTTAAGATTACGCCAAAAGAGAAAGAGATGATGACCACCACTTGAGAGATTAGTAAATGAGAGCTCACAAAAAAATCAGATATCCATACTATGTTCACTTCAATATTATATTACATGAAATACTATTGGTTTTTACCATTTTCTTTAGATTTTTAGACCTTATGTGAATCAATTATTAAATGACCCGGCCCAATAAACTTTAAAAATGACTTTGTAAACTATATATAAATATTAAACTCGACATAACTCGATCCGACCCAAATATGACAAAAAACACGCGGATCTTTTAACTCACTGAAATCAAACCAAAATTAAGTATTTGATAATTTGATTTGGTTATAAAAATGTACTAGGGGAAGGAGAATATTACAATCGAAAATGTAAAAATCATTTGATTCCTTTTCGTTGCCTGTAAATGTAATTAGAAGAAGAATAATATTAGTTCACGAAATCTCGGAATAATATAACAAAAAAACCAATGTTGAAAACGCAGAAAATCTCGGCATCATAGTATCAATTGCCGAAGATTTCGTAAGCCTTAAATCCATGTAACAACATATGTTAACAAATTCCCATTAATTTAAAAATATAAATTATAACATAAACGATTTCAGCAAGTAAATGTTAAAATCTTAATTATAAACAATTTAAGGAGGGTATATTAAATTGATGATTTGGGATAATTTAGAAATCACCTAAATTTGAGGGAATTTTAAAGAGATTTGAGATTTGAGAGAATATTGCAAAGTTATTCTTATAAATTTTGAAGGTGATTAGAAAGGATTTGAGAATATTTGATTTTTTTTTTTGAATTTTGTTCATTTTTTTTTTAAGTTTTGAACTATTAGAAATTTTTTGAGTGAGAAGAGCTGCTCCTTTTGAATAGTTTAGGCTTAGGCTCTAGCCTTCTCAGCGCCACTAGTAGCTTAGCAAACTGATCATCTTCAGTTTATCCCTCAGTCATTACCCAAAAGACAGGCGCAGGAGGGGAAACACTTGTTGAGGTTAGACGCTCTAAGACATACACACCAATGGCTGACGATGTTGGCCATGTTTTGAAGTTTGAGTGTGTAATGGTCAATGCCGAGACGAAACAGAATGTGGGCCATTCTTGAACCATATTGACTTCCCGTGTTATTCATTGTACGAACAATGACTTTGATCAAACATATAATTCTGGGATCATTGTTTCCTCCGGTAAAAGTGAATTACCAAATCATATATCTCAATTGCATTATCAAATTCTGTTAGTTAGCAAATCCTACCAGCTTTTATTATAAGTATATAGAATATCAGATTATCTTCTTCTTCTTTTACAGTAATGATATGTGTTTTTTATATTATAATCAATTAAAAATATTATTTTATTTTTCCAAATTAAAATATATCCTTTTTATTTATTCTTGTTATTTTATTATAATTACAGCATATGTCATAATTTAGATTAAATAATTTATCACATATTACAATTATGTTAATTAAGAATCGATAATATATAAAAGTTGAAAGCATAGTGTATTGAGTACGTTCATATATGATTAAAAACTTGATTTAATTGGTCCACATCAACATATTCATTAAATAAAAATGTTAAGAATGATTAAAACTTTAATTTGGTTTTAAAAATAGAAAAATAAAAGCTAAGTAAAAAATAGAAAAAATAAATTATGTTAAAAAATTAAAAAATAGTATCCTTAAAAATAAAATAGAAATTTGTTTTCAAATGAGTAACACCGGCGTTCATCCTGAGGCCTAGGCTCACTTCTTAATTTCGAGTTATCGAGATTCTCAATGTGGTTATAATAACCCAAAAAAATAATAGCATAAAAGTTCAAACTTACAATATAGATTAGGAAACTTCTAACTTATAAATTAATTGACAAGAAAATAAAAATATTGATTTCATTTTATAGATGGAAAAACTAAAATAAAAAATCTTAAGTAACAATTAGGAAAGAAAATTATATATAAAAAAATAAAATATAGCATCTGTCAAAATTTAAAACATTAATTTCGTTTTATAAATGGAAAAATTGAAATAAAAAGGTTTAAATAACAAATAGAAAAGAAAATTATGTTAAAAACCTGAAAAATAGTATCCTTAAAATTAAAATGGAAATTTGTTTTCAAAAGAGAAAAACTAACAAAAAAAAATCATAAAAGCTCAAACTTATAATATAGATTAGGAAAATTCTAACTTCTAAATTAACTGACAAGAAAATAAAAAATATTAATTTTATTTTATAAATGGAAAAATAAATTAAAAGGTTAAGTAACAAATAGAAAAGAAAATTATATTTAAAAATCAAAATATAGTATCCATTAAAATTAAATAGAAATTTAATGTAAAATAGTCTAACTAACCAAAAAAGTAATATCGTAAAAGTTAAAACTCATAGCATAGATTAGAAAAATTTATAACTTATAATGCATTGCACATATACAAATATATAATAATAACGTCATATATTGTCTATATGCTATTAGAAAACTAATCATCATCAACGACGAGAACTTTCTTTGTCAAGTTAAGCTAATGATATCACAAATGGTGGAAGTCATAATAAAATAAATGTTCACTAGCATTAAAAAGATAAAGATGTTTTCCTAACAACTCATTTATATATTCTTAACTGGAATACAATATATGTTTATTTAACACCTTTTTACATTTTCTAAACAGTGGGCTAATTGTTCCTGTTACTCTTCCACCAATTTTCAAAGAAAAATAATGAAAAGTGTTGTCAAAACTGTTGTGCTCCTGGCCATAATTATGAACCCAAAAACATTTCAAGGTTTGTAATCTCAAACATATAATTATCATTATTTTACTATTTATTATGAAAATATGATGAATTCTGAGATAATAAGATTTATTTAACTCTTAACACCATACTTTAAATTACATCATGTAGAACTATTATTTTTGAACTCCGCTTCTTCCACCCAGTTTTTTTTCGACAAAGGTATTGAAGCAACTACTGACTATTTGACATGGTAAATACGCTCACATGCATTACCTCATCATACTTTAATTTCCTATTGTGTTTTTAAATATGAAACCAAAATTTTTTAAAGTTATTATGATATGATGAGAAAACAAACATGTTTTTATTAAAAGCCTTTTTAGCTTTTAACATGTTATAAATTTATTTTTCAAAATAAAATAGGAATCATTACCAAAAAAAGTAAATTAACAAAAGAAAAAGTCGTATAAAAGAAAACTAACTTGAACTAAAGTTTTTGAAAATCAATATAAAAAAAACTTAACTAAAATAAACAAGTGATGTTATAAGCTTTTGATAAATCCTTCTAAGATTTAAATTCACTAGTTAGAGCAAATCAAATCAGCATTATAGCTAGAATTAAAATTCATATAAAAAACAAATTTAACATATAAAAAACAAATTTAACAAAGAAAAAACATTTGTATAAAAGAAATTAATGTGATGTCTACGATATCTATTTGGAAAATTAACAACAAAAGAGCTTAATAAAAAGTACATAAGTCCTAAATATATAAAACATACAATAATTATTTAAATTAAAATAAATAAAAAATTACTATCAAAAGATGTAAAATATCAAAAAAAATTAATACAAAATTAATTTGAAATTAGTTTCAAAAAGTTCATGATTTCTAAAGTATTAGTATCAACATTGAAGAACTATCTAAAGTTGCAATAGGTTTACATGAGTTTCTAAACCAAACATATGTTTCTGATTTAAAAACAAACACTATATAAATAACTTTACACTCAATATTTCTATACATATTTAGGATCACGACTTATATCTGAATCAACATCAATAACACTTTCTAAATTTTATTTAAATAATAAAGTATGATATAGTTATGAATCAAACTCATATTGGTATATGTAGATAAAATACTCAAATCAAATCATGTATATTGCAAACAAAAGATAAAAACAGTGAAAAATAATGCAAATACTCCACACTACTGATCCTACAAGTTAGAAAACTAAAATTATAAAATATTAGACTGTAAAATAATAGATATCAATGAAAATTGAATAAAAATATAAGCTAAAACTCTTATAAGACATGGTGGAGAAAGAAGAAATGGTTTTGCCTAATCATTGCAGCTTCCTAACAACATTAAATGCGAATCAACAGAAATCATGGATAATATATGCAATGATACACAACATCAATAAGACTTTTAATAAAAAAAAAACTATAGTTTTGAACACATAAACCTTTAAGAAAAAAAACTATATAAATTATTATTTTACCTAATATTTTTCAAAAATTTATAAATAAAAATATGAGAAAATTACACATTATTTATTAAATTCTTTTATATAAATAAAAAATTCTATAAATATATTATATTTTTAATAATTTAAAAGATTGTAGCTCAAAAAGAATTAAATCAAACTATTAATACAGACTCGCGCGAGTTATAAACATAGTTTTATATAATAATAATTAGCAACTTTATATAATAAGATTTTAGCAACTTTGTTAATAAAGAATATTGGAGAATAAAAAAGGGAATATTGGAGAGTAGCTGTTTCTCTATCTTCTCTTCTAGTTCTCTGTTTTATCGATAATCCTCTTCCGAGGTTATCAAAAACCTGAAAGGAAAAAGCTCTGGCACCTCCTTTAGCGTTCATCCACAAATGTTGTAATTATGTTTTAAATTTATAATTTATTTAATTTTAATCCAGTCAATAAAAACATTTCGTTTATTTTTGAAAATTTGACGTGTCACATTTATATGTTGTCATTAAAATGTACTAACTTTTACTATAGTGTTGACCAACTCAGTTTTTTTTTACTAAGATCTACTTCTCAAATAATGTGTAGGAGATTCTTTTATTATTCAAATTATTATTATAAATAAGTTACAAAACATTTGCTTGTGCGGCACATAGGTACTGAATCCTAGTTGAATCTATATATAATATTCTAGGTTTTTATCTTGCATGCGCATGTTGTGATTAATAGTTTAATTTAATTCTTTTTTGTCTAATATCTTCTAAGTTATCAAAACTATAACAAATTCATTGAAATTTTCTTTTATATAAAAGAATATAATCTATAATATGCAGTTTTCTTATATATATATATATTGTTTATAAGATTATAAATCTTATCAGATAAAATAATAATAATCATACCTATCAAATTATACAATCTTCAACTTGCACACACATTTGATTTATAAAAGAATTTTCTTACTAAGATCTTGGTGTTTTACCTTCTCTTCCTTGGGATTTCTATAATTCTTAATTATTTCTTTAATTTTGTATAACAATACATATACATCAGTTTAATAGTTACCCAGTCATAAAATTGGTACCAAAATTTTGTATAAGAAAGTTATACTAAGGATTTGTATACTATAGTAAAACCTCTATAAATTAATAATGTTAGGACTTTTAAGATTTATAAAGAATTATTAATTATAGTGATTATTAATTTATAGATATATTGTTTGGTTGATAAACTAATTTTAGAACTAACAAAAAATATCAATTTATCTAAATATTATCGAATATTAATTTATAGAAGTTTTACTGTACTTCTTGTCCACTTAAAAAAATTTTAACTATCACATAGTTATGGAGAACCCCCTTAAAAATACATGAGGTAAATAACATTTGCTAAAAGAATACCTCAAGAATTTAAGTTTTCTGAAATATACCCAACTTATTTTTAGATGCAAGATTAATACCCATATTTCAAATTTTGAAAGTTTGACCAAGTTTGACAATATGATTTTGACACCGTAAGTTTATGTAACGGGAACAGTGAACAGAGTTTTTTTAAACACCAGTTGAAATGATTTAATCCAAAATGCATAATAACCTCTAAAATTGATTTAACCTAAAACTTCCCCCATATTGATATGTGTTCTTCTTTTCACTAAGGAAGTGATAACTAAGAGAGAAGAAAAAAAGAAAAAAAGAAAAAAATCGATTTGGGAGAAAATGATTTTATGTTATATCACTTTTAGGGGTTATTGTTAAATTTTGGATTAAATAATTTCAATTGGTGTTAAAAAAAATAAACACAGTTCACTGTCATAAGCTCACGATGTCAAAATAGTATTGTCAAACTTGAAAGTTTGAGTACTAATTTGGCATCTAAAAATAAGCTGGGTATCTTATGGGAAACCTAAATAGTTGATGTATTTTTCAGCAAATGTTATTTACCTCAGGTATTTTTAAGGTTATTCCCCCATTGTCATTTGCCAATTTAAAAAAGTACAGATTTGTCATTTAAAAAAAAAATGTGAGGGTAGCAATTTGCTTCTTTGCATCATTTGAAGAGGAACCAAGTGTTCTCCATTTTTGGATTTGATTTGTTATCGTTTCCTTACTATTTCTTGGGAGGTTAAAATCCTTTCCTTATTAAAAATAGAAAAAGGAAATAAACTATATATACATTTGCATTTAACTTCAATTTCAATCTCATAATAGAGAGAATCATGGGTTTCTCCAAAAAACTATATTTTATGTTGTTTATCTACAATCTTGTAGCTATGGTGCTTTATGCATCGATGTCATTCTCGGATGCTGCATCGGGAGAGCTAAGCACGAGACGCATGCTTGGGTTTGAGAAAAAAACCGTCGTAATAATTAATGCATTACCAAACAAACTTACTCTGCAAGTACACTGCAAATCTAAAGATGATGATTTGGGGTTAAAAACACTCTCTTCGGGTCTTAGTTGGGACTTCAAATTCAGAGTAAATTGGTTGGGGAGTACGAGATTTGATTGCAACTTTACGTGGTATAAAGGCGGATCCCACATGTGGCCTGTGTATGCACCAAAGGCAGATAGTCGTATTGTTACCTATGGAGACAAAAAATGTGACGTTTGTATTTGGGAAGTCTCGGGCGAGGGAAAGAAGAAACCAATCTGTCGTCTAAGACGAGATAATGGACCTCCTTGGTGTTTTGATTGGCCTCCTCAGCCAAAAAAAACATAAAAAACCCTTAAAACATACTACGTAGTAGTTTGTAGATTGGTGAGTTTAAACCATACCATATGTAAATTGTCACACATAAAATAAAAGAGAAATGTTGTACGAATTTATCATTTGAATGTTTCAATTTTTCAACACATTTTATACTATTAATTTCTTGCTTGTAAATAATAACATATAAGTTTTTTGTTTTGTATTACAATATTTATAGTGCATGAGAATTTTATAATTTATTATAAGTATATAAAATATTAAATTATCTTCTTCTTTTTTTACAGTAATGATATGTTTTTTTTAAATCAATTGAAAATATTTTTTTTATTTTTCTAAACTAAAATATATTCTTTTTATTTATTTTTGTTATCACATATAGTATTACAATTATGTTAATTAGCAACTTTGTTAATGAAGAATATTGGAGAATAAAAAAAGGGAATATTGGAGAGAAGCTGTTTCTCTATTTCTCTGTTTTTTCAAACCTCTGAGTTTTTTACCGCGCTTACGTTAGACAGTAAAAGGAAATTAGCCGTTGACAATGCCGGCTTAGGAGGGAGAACAGTTGGTGCGACTGTCCTAGGACCCACTTTAAATTTAACAATATTAGGGGCCTATTTTTTGTTCAGTACATATATTATGTTATTGAATTTAGATAATAATAAATTTATGATTATGTGTATGGTGTACTAACTCTATGATATATCCAGTGACTAATCTACTTGCTATAGTAGAATTCGATGTTGTTTTTACGTTATTTTCTTAAATGAATATAACTCAGAGATGTCCAGTCAAACCAAAACAAAATGAATAAATTATAGAGATTGCTTAATTAGTGTTTATGCGAGTGTATGGTTCTCAAAATATATCGAAAATTATTATAATAAGTAACAAATATATAAAATGTTTAATTAATGGAAATATAGGATTACGTGAAGTCAAATTTTTTTTTTTGTAAATTATGATTACAAAGCTGAAGAAGAAGAAATAAAAACATGAATATAGTATTACAAGTTATTATAATTTAAAATGTAGAATTCAAAAAAAAAGTAAGCTCAGTTAGTTTATTTTTTAAAAAGTATAATTTGAAATTCCATTTTTCTAATAATATTTAAAAGGTAATATTAAAAACAAAATTATATAGTTATAGGGTCCAAAAATATTTTTCCCAAGGGCCCTTAATAATAGTGAGCCGGCCCTGGCCGTTGGTGTGAAAATGCTTGAAGGAGAGAGAGAAACGGTCACAAGTTTTGGTAATGGCGAATTTGTTTTTCTATGCTTATAAAAGAAAACATCTTTAAGCCGGCTATAACCTGCCGGCGTACCTTTGTCAACTTCTTTCTTACAATGCAAGTTCTCTTCTCCTTCTTCTTCTCTTTGTTTCTCTGTTTCCTTGTCATCTTCTCTGAGACTCTTGAAGACGACACGAAAGCGAAAACCGGAGTTACCTGCAGCGAAAACCGGGACCGGTTTGTATCCGTTAGATTGCCTGGGGTTGGATTCAACGGTTCGATCCCACCTCTCACCATCAGTCGTCTCTCCTCTCTCAAGACTCTTAGCCTTCGAAAGAACTGACTCACCGGAGAGTTCCCTCGTGATTTCATCAACCTCAAGAAGCTGACTCATCTCTACCTTCAGCATAACCGCCTCTCGGGTCCACTGCCATCGATTCTCTCGGAGTTAAAGAATCTCAAGGTTCTTGATCTGTCCAACAATGCATTCAACGGAAGCATCCCGCCTTCTCTTCTCTTTCGGGTTTGACCAGCCTTAGAGTCTTGAATCTTGCAAACAACTCATTCTCAGGTGAGATTCCTGATCTCCATCTTCCGAGGCTGACTCAAATCGACCTGTCCAACAACAAGCTCGTCGGTGCAATACCGAAGTCTCTCGAGAGATTCCAAAGCTCAGCGTTCTCTGGCAACAACATAACATCACAAGAGAAACAACAACACAAGACTCCTTTCGGGTTAAGCCAGCTTGCTTTCTTGCTGATTCTAGCTGCAGCTTGCGTTTTGGGCGTTTCCGGACTCTCTTGCATAGTAATAATGATCACTTGTTTCGGCAAGACAAGAGTCTCTGGGAAGCTGAGGAAGAGAGACTCGTCTTCCTGCGCATCTAGAGAAACTGGAGAAGGAGGCAAAATCATCTTCTTCGGGGGAAGAAACCATTCGTTCGATCTAGATGATTTGCTGAGCTCGTCTGCTCAAGTTTTGGGGAAAGGAGCTTTTGGTACAGCCTATAAGGTAACCATGGAAGACATGAGCACGGTCGTGGTGAAGCGATTGAATCAAGTCTCTGTGGGAAGACGAGAGTTTGAGCAACAGATGGAGATCACCGGCATGATCAGACACGACAATGTAGCTGAGCTCAAGGCCTACTACTACTCCAAAGACGACAAACTCGCTGTCTACCGCTACTACGCTCAAGGAAGCCTCTTCCAGATGATGCATGGTCAGTTTCAGCTCTATGTTCTGATGATAGATTCAAAAATCAAAACGAAAGTTTCAATTTTTATTTGCAGGAAACAGAGGAATGCATGATCGAGTACCCTTAGATTGGGACGCTAGGCTGAGAATAGCAACCGGAGCAGCGAGAGGCCTGGCTAAAATCCATGAAGGGAGATGCATCCATGGGAACATCAAATCCTCAAACATCTTCTTAGACTCACAATGCTACGGCTGCGTCGGCGATCTCGGCTTAACAACCATCATGAGTCCTCTTCTTCCTCTTGCCTCCGGTTACCACGCACCTGAGATAACGGACACAAGAAGGAGCACGCAGCTTTCGGATGTATACAGCTTCGGTGTGGTTTTACTCGAGCTCTTGACGGGGAAGTCGCCGGCGAGCCCGGTTTCGGAGACAGAACAGGGAGAGAAGATGAATTTGGCTAGCTGGATAAGGTCTGTGGTGGTGAAAGAGTGGACAGGGGAAGTCTTTGATATGGAGATTTTGAGCCGATCGGGTTGTTTCGAGGAAGAAATGGTTGAGATGTTGCATATAGGATTGGCTTGTGTTGCCTTGAAGCAGCAAGAACGGCCTCATATAGCTCAAGTTTTGAAACTGATTCAAGATATTCGATCGATTGATGCCGAATGAGGCAAACACACACACATACACACACACAAAGTAGCCGCCTTTAAAGCGTTTTTCTTCTTCTTAGATCATTTTTGTTTGTTGATGTGCAAAGAACGAAACTTGAATTTATAGATCCGGGAACGAACAAAATAAACCCATTTCATATAATAATTAAAGAAAACAAAGCATCTGGAGAAATTGGAGGATCAAACGGGAGTTAATAGGTGAAAAAGATCTGGTTTTGGATCGGAACTCATGCCGATGATGATGATCAGTGGGATGAAGCCATAGTGAGTCGCGACCTTTGCTTTCTTCAGTGACCAGTTGCTCCAATCCTTGAAGAGCTGATACTTGGATGGCGAAGAAGATGATCCCTTTGAACCTTTTCCTTTTCCTCTCTGCTTCGACGAACCCTTGGCCGCCATTGATTCTGATCTCAGAGCTCTCTCTCTCTCTCTCTCTCGGCGTGTCTGTGTCAGTCGGAGATTTTGCTCGAAGCCAGTTAAAAACCCTAAAGGGTTTAAGCCGTTTTAAAGCCTTTACGCAAAGACTCTGTCTAGGTGAGAAGGTTTCTACTTTTTTTTCTTTTCCATTTTATTTAATGTAATAAAATAAAAGGAGACCCTAAAATAAAATATCTTGGTCGCTGTAAAATCGCTGGCATGTGTAAAGGCATCATAATAAATATAAATCCCCAAAAATTCTCCAAGGGCTCTCTCTCTCTCTCTCACCATCTGCAGGAGTGAATCGTGAACCTAGTTTGGAGGATCTGTCTTGAGGTAAAAAAGCTCGATCCTTTGTTGTTTGATTGTTTCGGGTTCTCTCTTTCGTTGTTGCTGAAATCGATCTTAGATCTTTATTTTTATTCTATTTTGTCTATTGGATCTAGGAAATTGTTCAGAGCGAAAAATGGCTTCGAAGCGGATCTTGAAGGAGCTCAAGGATCTCCAGAAGGATCCTCCAACCTCCTGCAGTGCTGGTTAGACTTACCTCTTCTTCTCCATCTCATTCGATTTGAGCTCTGTTGTAGATCTTAATCATCTCGTTTTTAAGAATATGATACTGTTTTTTCTTCTTCTTAATCACACAACATCGTGATGTAGAGTACTGATTATAATCTCTAATCAAAGGATAACAACTAAAAGTTGAGATTTTTTTTAAAACAAACTTTTGGGTTTTGATCTTAGATTCGTGCAATCGATCATAGTCTAGGAGATAGCAATTGAAAGTTGAGATTTTTCTTAATTTTAAGCTTTTGGGTCCTGACATAGATTGCATCCTGCCTTGTTTATCGAAGTTATCCATTACGGATTTTACGAACTTGCTTCCGGATCTTAGTAGAAAGCTCTTTTGATGTTCACCAGTTCTTAGTAGAAAGCTGTGTAGTCTTTGTTAGTTATCTATTGCATTCGGTGTTGTTGGTCTCAATAGAGTCAGAGGATGATTGTATGAGAATCTCAATACTGCTTAATGCAAGTCTGATGATTGTATGAGAATCTCAATCTATGTTTATGTTGTGTTATTAAAGACTAAACTTTCTGTTTTTGCCTTTGTATGAACAACAATTGTGAAATCTTCAAAAGGCCCAGTTGCTGAGGACATGTTTCACTGGCAAGCTACAATAATGGGTCCATCAGAGAGTCCTTATTCAGGCGGAGTCTTTCTCGTAACCATTCACTTCCCTCCGGATTATCCTTTCAAGCCACCAAAGGTTAGAACCATTCTCTCACCAGTTTGAAAAAATCATTAAAGTGGGTTGTATTGGAACACTCAGTTGCTCTTTGTTCTACTCGCAGGTTGCATTTAGGACGAAGGTGTTTCACCCTAATGTCAACAGCAACGGAAGCATTTGCCTCGACATTCTGAAAGAACAGTGGAGCCCTGCTCTCACCATTTCCAAGGTGAACACAAAAAGCTCTCTTTTTACCTATGTCGTTGATGAGTCTTTGACTCTGAATTTCTAATTCACTCTATTGTGACTTTGTAGGTTTTGCTTTCGATATGTTCATTGTTGACGGACCCAAACCCAGATGATCCTTTGGTTCCGGAGATTGCGCACATGTACAAAACCGATAGAGCTAAGTACGAGTCTACTGCAAGAAGCTGGACTCAGAAATATGCAATGGGTTAAAAAGTTTGTGGCTTTTGATCCATCGAGACTTGGTTTTAAAAGAAGGGAAGTGAGAGAGAAAAGGACTTCTTCACATAGGATCTTCCATGAAATAAAGTTAGATTCCTATGTTTTATCTCTTTTGATTTTGATGTCATTTGATAAACAAATTACATTACTTCTCCTCTATGTTCTTCCCTTGTTCTTTTCTTTTCGTTTTCCTTGGAATTGCAAAAAAACTTATATTAAAAAAACCTTATGTAAAAAAATGATTTTAAACTTCTCAAAATGTTGTTTGCTTTAACAACACGAATTTTATGGAACCCTAAGAAAATAATGGGTTCTAAATTGGTATTTCTCTAAATTTAACTGGGTTCTTAATTGGTATTTCTCTAAATTTGTAAAACATTATTAGTATATTGAAAATCAATTTAGCATAAGCATTATCCTATGTTTTTACGTAACAGCTAAATTACGTTCCATGTGGATATTATTAACAAAATTAATACGCGTGTATTACGCAATACCATACAATGGAGATCCTTAATTATCAAATAAATACCTAAACAAGTTCTCAAACTTCTTCTTAGAAAACAATACGAATCTAAACAATTTGCTAACAAAGAGAACCAAACATGAAGAACGTAGCATTGTTGGTGATCGCATTTGCCGTACTATCGGCATCGTTTCCTCCACCGGCAAACGCTAACGGCACCACCGGCGGCAAAAACGTCAAGAGGAGTGAATGTTTTGCAAATCCTCTTCTGGTTTGCTTTGACGGTATAGCAAAGAAGATGGAGTTGCCGGCTGAATGTTGTGAGCGACTAAAAGCGAATCGTTCATGTCTGTGTGAAGTCATTAACAACACTATCCTCGATAGCAATGTCCTTAGCTCTCGTCTCAAGTCTTGTGGGATTTCAGACCTCAATTGTATAATATAAACAATATGATGTGAAGTTGTGAACTCGGAACCGACTGGTTCGAGACACCATATATACACGTTGAGTTCTTTGTCTTTTTCTTTATTTTTCCAGTTTTTATACAATAATGGTGAAGTGGTCTTCAAGCTTAGTGTTTACTGGTTAGATACATTTTCTCCACCATTCTCATGATTCCCTTTTTTGTAAGAATCAATAACGATTCCATATATTCCTATATGATATATGTAAACAATAAATAATAAAAGTGGACTTTGATCTCTACTATTGAAATTTCGTTTTTTTTTATATATGATGTCTTAGAGATTATTTTTTGTTCAAAAATAGTTAATGTTTACACATATCTATGCATAAATTAATTTCATTTTTATTGTTTTAAATGTTTGAATTTTGTATATTGTTTTTTCTATTTGTTCAATTGTTTTGGAATTGATGATAAAACATGTTTTTTTTTGAAAAAATACAAAATTAAATAATTTATTAATCTATGTGTAAAAACCTTAAACATCACATATAAAAAAAACGGAGGGAGTATTTTGCTTTGACTAATGCCACCAACACAATACAGTAAAACCTCTATAAATTAATAATATTGAAACCTGAAGGTTTATAATTTTTTTTATTAATTTACAATGATTATTAATTTATATATATATACTATTTAATTGATAAACTAATTTTGAGACTAGTAGAAAATATTAATTTATCAAGTGTTATTGAATCGAATATTAATTTATAGAAATTTTACTGTATAACAGTCATGTAATAAAATAGTCTAATGGTTGGTGTTAATGTCTTGGTTTCTATATGGTTAAGTAAAATCATATATGGTTGAATTTTTTTTGTTTCTTCTCTTCTTTTTATTTTTCTCCCTTCTCTTTTTCTTTAATTAATAATTCATTCCTTTCCTTCTATTTAATCTCACTGCTTTTTTTTTATTTATGTTCCTTTAAAAAGTTAACTAGGTATTTACCCGCGCTACGTTGCAGAATATTTTTCTAAATTTTGTATACATTTTTAATATAATAAAATTATTTTTATAATGTAAATAAGTATTATATTTTTTATTAGCTTAAGTTATATATTTATATGTTTTTAATTTGAATAAACATTGTATATCCTTATTTTTTTTTATTTTTTGAAATTATAATTGACTATTAAATTTGTTTAGCTAACAAATTATATATGTATATGTAAGAATAAATCAATATATTTTTTAGTACCTTCATGCTAATGACAAATGTAATCTATTTTCTCCAATAAATTGTCACTTGATTCTCCTTTGTAATTAATAAAACAAATTGTCATTTAAAAAAGGGGGAGTTTCTCTTTATAACCTAAAAATTGATTTTGTCTCAATATGTAGACCTCTTATTGAATGTTTGGCAAAACTAACCCAAAAGAGTAGTGAAATTACAGCTCAGTCCTTTGTGACTAAACAAAAAACGTATGCCACAGTTATGATTTTATCCTCCGGGAAGTCTACGTAAGAAGTCTATTTTTGTAGACTATTAATGAAGTCTACATAAGTAGACTTCAAAAGAAGTATATTACATAATTAGTTTTTTTAAATTAATTAGAAAATATAAAATAAATAAATTTCTAAAAAATTGATAAACATAAGTAAGTCATATATATTTGACTTGTATAGAATACAAAATTCCATACAAATGAATCAACTTAAATGCAGAAAAACTAGAAAATATACAACCCCTTAGAAGTCTACTAAAGAAATCTACTACATAATTGAATCTTAAATTTTTTTTACTAAAATTATAAAAAATATTATGATACAAAAATTATATAACCAAAACATAGACAATTGGCATCTATATTAAATAAAATTTCATGAAAATAAACCAATTTATAAGTTTCAAAAGTATAAGGTTGAAAATGGTTTGGGTTTGAAGTAGACTTCTCGGGTAGACTTCTCCAGTAGACTTAAGAAAAACATAGCGGGAAATCAAAATTATTTAACAAATTGGGCGAGAATCGGAACAAATTAGGCCGGAATCGAAATCGAAAAAATATACCGAAGTAGACTTTTCGAGTAGATTTCTACTTAGCTGAAAATTTTCCTACATATATAAGGAGATTAACCTAATTGGGTTAAAAATAAAGTTTTTCTCTCCCTCTAAAAAATGCCTCTCTCTCCTCTACCTCCTCTCTGGCCATGAATCTCTTCTCCTTCCTCTCTTCCATCAAACCCATCTCTATCCTCCATCCTCTCTATCTCAATTATGGTGATGGTAAGCAAATATGAGGTTTTGTGTTTCTTTTGTTGTTTGGTTTGTGTTCCTATTGTAAATATGAGTTTATTATTACATATTTGAGCTTCTTGTTGTAGATCTGAGTTTATTCTTGCAAATATGCGCTTCTTATGGTATAAATTATGTAGAATTTGTTGCAGATCTGATTTTTTTTGTTGTTGCATATCTGATTTTTTTTTTTTTTGCAGATTTAAATTTTTAGTTGTTGCAGATCTGATTTTGTTTATTTTGTTGTAGATCTGAATTTTGTTTATTTTGTTGCAGATCTAGAATTTTTTTTTGTTGCCTAGCTGATTTCTTTTTTTCCTTTTTGCTGCAGATATGATGTTTGTAAATATAGCAGATTTTGTTGAAATATGAATTTTAACATTTTTTCTTATTTTGCAGACCTGAGCATATTTTTTTGTTTTTGTTTTTGTTGGAAGCAGACTTCAGCTGCAGACTTCTCGAGTAGACTTCTCGAGTAGACTTCTCGAGCAGACTTCAGTCACATACATCTTTTTTAGACATTTTGTTTTTATATGTTAATTTTAAGATTTATAATTAGTGATTCTTAAATGTTTGTTTGTTTAGAATGTCTACTTTATATGTAAAGTTGGATTGCAATTAATGTTATTTAATATATTTTTAAATTATGTGTGTTTTATCATATTCAGATTTCATATGCAGACTTTTTTATCAGACTTAGTCATCACCATCTTTGAACCTCTAATAACACAAGAAAATTAATTCAATTTTAACTATACAAAAACATGTAAAACTCATAACAAAAAAACATGTAAAACTACTTAGAAATACCACAACTAGTCTTTCTTCACACATTCTCTATAAACAGTGGGTATGTGAACCATTCTCTGAAAGAAAAAAAAATTCAAACCACATTAGAAATCATTTTCGAAAAAGTAGACTGCAAACGAAGTCTACTATGTAGACTTCAAATGAAGTCTGCGGACTATTAAGCTAAATACCAAATAAAAAAAGAAAATTAATTAAAGCTAAACTGTAAAAAAAAAAAATTTCAAACTCATACATAAGCAAGAAGAATAAATATCATACACTTGAGAGTCAAATAATAAATTTTATTTGTTACAAATATCTGATCAATTAAATTTATAAAAAATTAATGTCACAGAGTGCAAACGAAGTCTACTATGTAGACTTCAAGTGAAGTCTACGGACTAATAAGTTAAATACCAAATAGAACAAGAAAATTAATTAAAGCTAAACTATAACAAATAAACATGTCAAACTCCTACATAAGTAAGAACAATAAATAACATACACTTAAGAGTCAAAAAATAAATTTTATTTGTTACAAATATCTGATCAATTAATTTAATAAAAAAAATTAATACCGCAGACTGCAAACGAAGTCTACAGACTAATAAGCTAAATACCAAATAAAACAAGAAACTTGATTTCACCAAATATATATAATATAAACATGTAAAACTGATACAAATGTAAGTACACTTACTAAAACAATCGTAAGACCAAAAAAATCTTAAAAATTCGTAGTAAATTTGATAAAAACGAGTTTATAAAAAAAAGTGAAATAGTAGACTAACAACGAAGTTTACAAAAGTAGACTTGCAACGAAGTCTACAAATGTAAACTTCGTATGAAGTTTATATTTTAGGTTACTTTTGCAATTGCCAGAAGATGAGTAGACTTCTTCAAAGAAGTCTACTCACTCCGAGGAGTCTACTCGAGAAGTCTACGTAAAAAAAGGTTAGTTTTGCAATTGACCAAACTTTGACTTTTTCATAAGAAGTCTACTTGCAAAAGTAGACTTCTTAAAGGTTAGTTTTGCAATTGACCAATGTTGACTTTTCAAAGTAGACTTCGTTTGAAGTCTACTTTTGAAGTAGACTTCAAACGAAGTCTATTTGGGTTAGTTTTGGGGTTGACCAAACATTGAATTAAGAGTAGACACTTTATTTGAAGTCTACTCAGAAAGTAGACTTCAAACGAGTCTACTCGGAAAAGTAGACTTCAAGCGAAGTCTACTTGGAAAGTCAACATTGGTCAATTGCAAAACTAACCTCTAAGAAGTGACTTCTCCGAAGAAGTCTACATTTGTGAGTAGACTTCTTACAAAAAAGTCAAAGGTTGGTCAATTGCAAAACAAACCCCTTTTTACGTAGATTTCTTTTGAAGTCTACAC